TAAAAAACAGGGGCACTTGAAAATACAGGTAACATTTTTGCTAAATAATGATTCCAGCCCAGAAAAGTGAAAAGCTGAAACTAAAGGAGAGCTGAGCAAGAAAAAAAAGGATCATTAGAGCAACAAATAATGCAGTATAGCCCACAATTCCTCCCACTGTGGTTTGGCTACTCTGCAGTTAACTGACTTCTACATATACAAGAGTCCTCAGCTAACTTTATACCAACTAGTTCTTGCTCTGCTAACAGTCTAACTGTGACCTCAGCATGGGTTTATTCACCCTGATTCTTGGCTTCTGACTGCAGCCCACACCTACCCTGTATGCCTGCCATGGGATGCTGCATTTTCCTCAGATGGAATTTTCCTCATTTCTTGAGACCGTCAGCATTCATGTGAACCTCAGTGGCAATAATAGAATATGAACAGAGAAATAATCGGACTCAAGTGGTTAAGGCTTTAACAATGGAAAAAAAGCCCTGACATAAGAAAAATAATGGTGAGTTTTCAGGCATTGTGAGACTAGAAATTATGTGACAAAATTGAGGTTACCTTACAGATATATGACACTGCTGGCATAGTGCATGCAAACTAATGTCTTAGCTTGTCAACCTGACATCAGGAATGGGGGCAACCAACAAGCTCTGGAGTCAAGAAAAGAGGCAAAGCTGTCAGCTACAAGCATAATAACAGAATAAAAGCAAAAGCCTTGTGTTTGTTATATACCACCATTAATAATGACCAAAAAAGGTGGCAGCTGCAGAATAATTTTATCTTAGATTATACAATTTTTATACTCTTTCTCTACAAGGGACCTGGGAAATGACAGCCATCTCAAGGTAGCCATCGCAGACAAACCTGCTCTGGTGTACAGGCAGCCTGCCAACCTCAAACAGCATCTCTCCAGCAATGGACTACCTAGCTCCTATTCTCACTAAGGCACCAGACCTTGCTCTGGACTCAGATGCCAGATGTGCCCTCTCATCAACACAGACCACATCATAAATGGGCAGAAAAACACAGATTATGACATCCAAGGTTTACTTACCTGAACTTCTACCAATATCATACATGCCATGATTTGCTTATAGTGCCCCTCTGCTTTCTACATTGGACAGATGGAGAGATCCCTCCATGTAAAAATGAATGAACACCAGTAGCAGATGTCAGTACCAGAAAGATGCACAATCCTGTGGCAGAATACTAACTCCCTGGACATTTTGGCTGGGGTCAGAAATTACACACAAACTGGTATAAGTGATCAGAAACT